ACTGATTCAACCTCATACAAGATGGTCTCAAGCTCCTGAACCTTCAGAAACGCTGTTCCCATTACCTTTTTCAAGGCACTCTTCACTGTACCAACCATTCGCTCATAGAAGCCTCCATGCCATGGTGCAGCTGGAGGATTGAACATCCATGGCACACTCAGTTTGTCAGATGCCGCCTTGAACGTTGTAGCATTGTCAGACCTGATCCGAGACGGCAAACTACGTCTCGCGACAAACTTCCGAAATACCATCAAGAATGACTCGGTACTTAAACTATCGACCACCTCCAAGTGAACTGCTCTGGTGGTGGCACACACAAACAATGCTATCCATACCTTCGGAGATGACTCACCACGGCGCACGTACAACGGACCAGCATAGTCGATGCCGGTAGTTGCGAACGGCCTCTCGTGAACAACTCGGTCTTCTGGCAGCGGCGGGCAGACTTCTGAGGCAGCCTTAGCCTTGTAGCGGCGGCATGTAACACATCGCTGAGTAATGTTGCGTAGCGCTCGTCGACCACCGATAATCCAGAATTTCTGACGGATAAACGACAAGACTCCTTCTACACCTTGGTGCATCCTTTCAACATGCATTTTCTCCAACTGCAAATCGGTCAGATGATGTTTGCCTAACAGGACTGGGTGCTTGGCTCCATACGCCAACTCGCTGTGCTGAAGTCGTCCCCCGGCTCTGAGCACTCCATGCTCATCCAGAAACGGTGCAAGCTGATACACCTTCGACCCGGGCTTCACTGGTTGACCTTGCTTAATCAGCTCAAGATCCTCAGCGAAACATGCGGCTTGAACGATGCGGTACAATACGTTGTCTGCTGCAAAATAGAGTTCAGCACGAGGCTCAGTGTGCTTCCACTGCAACATCCGAGTCACCATGCCCTGTGCCCTCGACCATTTACTGAATCGGAGCCACCATTCCTTATCAGATTCTCGACTACAGGTGGTGGCTGACACTCGTACTTCTACACTGGACTCATCTGTAGCTGCGGTTGAGGATGCGGTGGGCCAGTCATTGGGCTCCGTGATCCAGGTTGGTCCGCCCCTCCAGAACGGACTACGGATCTGCTGTGCACTACTCCCACGCGACGGTAAATCTGCTGGGTTGTGAAGGCCCGGGCAATGGTTCCACACAATGCCGACCTTCTTCGATATCTCTTGGACTTGACTGACGCGGTTAGCCACAAATGTTTTCCATTTGTACGATGGATTACTGATCCAATGAACGGTAGTGAGACTGTCAGTCCAGCCATAGACTTGCGTGACGGTAACACGCAGCTCCTTCACCACAAACTCAGCGTAGCGAGCCGCTAAACATACTGCTTGTAACTCAAGGCGGGCTAACGTGGGCGGAGACACAGGTGACACTTTGGCCTTGGCAAATACCAAGTGCGACTGTCCATTGACAACTGCATACAAACAACATCCAAACGCTTTCTCACTGGCATCGGCGAAGGCATGAAGCGCAATCGGCGTGTCAAGATTGCAGCAAATCCAACGTGGTATGTCAATGCTCACCACTTCGGCCAACTCTCCCCACCATTCCGCACATGCGGCTGCGATGCCATCAGGCAACATATCATCCCAGTCGCCTCCGACTTTCCAGGCTTGCTGTAGCAGTATCTTTCCCGGCACAACTGTAGGTGCTGCTAGACCTAGCGGATCAAACACTGATGCAACACACTTGAGGAGGGCTCGCCGGGTCCAAACAGACGGCCTATCGGACTCGCCTAGCGCTGCTATGCTGAGCAAGTCATCACTGGTTTTCCATTTCAGACCGAGGACTTTATCTCCGGCCTCTGGATCGCACGGGATTTCGTTGCCTCGCCACTTGCGTAACTCCATGCCAGCATCCGTAAGCACACGCACACTGAACTCTTGCATCTCCTTGGCTTCCGAGGCATTTGACACACTAGAGACCAAATCGTCAACGTAGAAACTCGTGAGCAAGAGATCAATACGATCTCGCTCTTTGGGTGCAGACAACGCCCGTAGCTCCTTCAAGTGATGCTGAATCACCGCAGTAAGCATGTACGGCGAGCAGTTTACGCCAAATGGCAGTTTCGTTAGCCTCCAGGTTAACAGTTCATCGCTGTCGCTTCGACCGGGCCACAAGAAACGCAGGTACGGACGGTCTTCGGGATTAACCGCGACCATGAAGAAAGCCTTGCGGATGTCCGCTTGCAGCGCGCTCTTATATTCACGGAACCGTAATAGCATACCTGCGAGACTCGGCAATAGCGACGGTCCAGGGTCAACCATGTCGTTCAACGACTTGCCATCTGGAGCCGTCGCCGAGGCATTGAACACCACTCTTAACTTCGTGGTTGCAGCGTGCTCGCGGAATACACCATGATGCGGTACATAGTACCCGGCATCGCTCTCACATGGCTCCAACTCAATTGCTCCAAGCTCGCGGTACTCCCTGATCAGCACATCATCGTAGAGCGCACGCTTCCCATTCCTCTTCAGCTTTTCAAGAAGCCGCGTTGCGATGACTCTAGCTTGAGCAAAGTTATCCGTTGGGCGACGCTCATTTCGCCACAAGAGACCCACTTGGTACCCGCTGCCCTGGCGACATAGCGGGAAAGATGGCAGGTGCTGATGTTGTTCTGGAGGTTCATCCAACTGCCATAGTTGTTCAATGTGGGCTGTGACACATGACACGGTCACCGGCTGACTGTTTCGACTTGGTGCAGACGCTGGACCAGATAATACATTACCTATCTCTGTGTTCCACACCGTCTCACCATTAACTTCCTTCTTGCTGTGCAGTACCGCGTTGATATAGTCTGCACCAATCAGCATATGTATTTCGTCTGATGTCCCTTGTTGAGGCTTGTCACTCAGCTCTACTCCCCAACTGTGCCACTGGGCAATGGTCTGCGGACTTGCGCACTTCAGGTCCATCTCAAGCGTTGGTTTCACGAACGCGCGTACCCGAATGCTAGCGGAGCTACCCTGGATCGTGATGGCGTACTTATCCATGCGCTGTTGGGTTGGTTCCGCGCCGAACGGCTTCACCTCTACATTTTCAACCCCAACGTGTTCTGCATCGATTACTGACACCAACGCTGCAGTCACGAATGACGCCTCAGCACCCGAGTCCAGGAACACGCGAACCTTCGCGTTTCGAGTTCTTCCCTCAACTCGTGCCACTCCGGTCATCAGCCGCACACTTGGCGAGTGTAGACAGCACGACCCAACATTCTTCTCCGTAACTATCTCAGTCGGTTTCTCCCGGCTGTAACCTGCTCTATCCAACACCTCATGTATTAGCAGGTGGTGTTTCCTCTGGCATTTCGTGCATCTCGAGCCTGACCGACATTCTCTGGCCATATGGCCATACTTAAGGCAGTTCCAGCAGAGTCTCTCTCGCTGCAGAAAACCCTTTCTCCCTTCCAGTGGCAGCGACTTTACCTGCTTCTCTGCATCTGCGACCGATATCGCCATGCACTGTGCCGACGCCGTGGGCCTTGGCACGGATCGTTCTACTATCTTCCTGGCAGTATCACCCTGTCGTCCGTGCGCGACCTGGTAAGACGCGCCGTGCTCCTGTACCTGGCGCAGTGACATCCCGTAGCACTGCCGTTCGACCAGGTACGTCTTCATCTCAGGTCCGCATTGCTCCAAGATTACCTGCTTTGCCATTGCTTGCAGCACCGGTGACATTTTACCTATATCGGCGCTATACTTGGTGTCCACCTCGCCATCTTCTGTCATAGCGAGTGTGGCCCACACTTCTACTTCTCGGCACACACGGACAACGTATTGGTGAAACGACTCATCTGACCGCTGCTTGCCTGTCAGCAATGTCTTCCACGCTTTATCCGGAGTCTTTCCGAGCGAGGCGAGCAACTCTCGCTTCGCTTCCTCGTAATTATTGCATCCAATACATATCCTCTCCGCGTTGCTACCCGCTAGCGCGATGCGCAGTCGCAGCAGCCATTCGCTTTCTTCAAACTCGTTCTTGGAGCAGATGTCCTCGAACAGGTCAAGATAACGCTCCAATGGCTGCGTTCCATCATATGAGGGGATTTTCATCAACGGTTGACGCCCCCCGCTGTTCCTGGGAGCTTCCTCTGTACCTCCCATCGCGGCTTTACCATCACCCTCATACGCATTGGCGATGCGCTCGTTAATGTCCTTTAGTGTTTTGTCAAACTCGGTGCGGAGCGCCTCCTCTCGCCGTCTGGCACTGCGCTCCTCACGCTCCTCGTACTGTTGGAGCCTCTGCTCCACATGTTCCATCAACAACTCGCCTTCTAATCCTAACCGAACTCCATTGGCGATAAAGCTCGCTTCCAAATTGTGTAGTTGCTCTGCCATGCTCGCTCCTATCCTGGCGTGGTCGCCAAATGTTGTGAACCCTGCAAGATTCTCTAAATTGTCAGGATCGTACGACCACACGGCACGAGGACAACTCTTTTCCTTTACACAGTATATTTCACTTCATCTGATAATTAACAATGAACACTAATAACACCAGCTATTTATAGCATGCAGAAACAGCGTACATGCAAAACATAAGCATATAAAACTGGACATAACAGCGTATACAGCAAAACGCACACAACGCATATAGCGTATGCCATGCAGCAACATCAGCGGTACGGCGGAGTCGAAATACAACATTTCAACGAATACAATGCCATAAGCGCGAAGGCCTTTCCCAATTGAGAACTGGTGGTTTACAACACAGACAAAACCTCCCCCCTTTTGTTCCTAGTATGGTTGCAACCTGCTATACATCATGAACATGTAAAACATATTATCAGATATTCCAAGTGATATGATGTTGATGAGTGATCTGCAGACCTACGAAAACACCTGGTCTCTTCTGTTTAAAAGATCAGGCTTATATAAACAGATTCGGGCAGCTTCTAGAACATTTAACTGCCTTAAATAACTAGCACGAGAAAGAACAGGGAATTGAGCGTCACCCAAACGAGATAACAACTGATTGTTTTGTCTTCTTTCACATAGATTTGACTGAGGCCAATTGCCGGCAACACTGTAGCATCATTTCCGACCTGGACAAATGCGATTTGTGTTCTGGTTATCCGTACAACTACACTTGCCTAGGTGAGTAGTGGTATTCGACTTGTACGTACTCCACTCAGACCATGCCAGCAAAGTGCTGAAAGTGCTTTTCCAGGGTCGTCAGGGCACAATTCCTGGATTTGCCTTTCTTTTCGGGAAATTGTTTTGTCGTGTGTAGAAGCCTGTGGCATCATTTCCTCACTGGACAAATGCTCTTCGTGTACCGGTTATCTGTTCAAATACACTTGCCTAGATGAGTACTCCAATCAGACCATGCCAGCAAAGTGCTGACAGTGCTTTTTCTGGGTCGTCAGGCGGGTTCAGAGGCAACTTGACAATGTGCATTCCTTGCTGGAGGTTCGACAATGTGTAGTTTTTCTCCCTTTTTGTCTAAAATCGAGAGCAGTATATCCCTTTCTAAGGGCGAGAATTGAAGTTGCGTTGCAACTCCGAGTTTCCAGCGATCAGGATCACACGTTGCCTAATGATCCTGACTGCGTGAGACTCGGAGTTGCAACACAGCTAGGCATTTTCCAAATCGGCCGGCCGAAAAATTCGCCAGAAACATTGGCTATGAAAAGAATTCAACTATCTTTTTTGCCGAATATGCAATTTTCGAACTAAAATCGCCGCAAATCGATGCTTTAGTGCCTCAGCAGAATGCAAACAGAATTTCTGTATCCATTATCTGCAATAGGTGACTGCAACTTTAGGCATTTCCCGGAACCGTCATCGGGAAAAGACCCCGAAATCAATGGAAATCGCCAATAATTGCGCCGAATTTACAAATTTGCATGTATATTGTTATTTGAATTTGCAAGTAAACATGGGCTACAAGCCCAATTACATTGAACCCAAAGTGATAATGGGTTAAGAAAAAGCGTGGAGAAAGGAGGAGGACGGTAGCAAAGCTACAAGGAGGGCACTTCAGGACCAAAATTGACAATTGCACAAGATTATGAGAGTACCTGAGATCGAGAGTACCTGTGGAGCGATAAAATGCTAAAAGCAAAAAGAAGAAAGGAAATCATACGCCAATACCGGTACGCGCTAAACTGCACTTGAGTTTTAATGAAGGGGGAAAAATGGGCGCTCAAGAAAATTATAACATACAAAGTTTTTTTTTACAAAATACACAACTCACCGGCACGCACATGGGGCTAGCATGGGGTGAGATGGTGCTGGTGGGGGTTGCCATGCTCAACCGACCAGAGGTCTCAGCATCTTCACATGGCGCACCAAGTGAGGGAGGGAAGCATAAGCATAAGCATGAGGGGAAAAGCACGGGAGAAAATGGAAGATTTAGAACCAAGGAGAGGATCTCATTTGGAACACAGCAGAACATAGCAAAAAATCAAGCAGATAATAGGAGTGAAAGAAGAGTGTCAAATGAAAGGTGCAATAGGGTAGCAGTGGAGATTGGCTACTCACGATTGGCGACAATTAGGCTTGGGGTGGGAGAAGCAGGGGCAAAAGCCCTGAGGAGGCTAGAGGTGGTCGGTTGCCCAGTCCCAGTCAGACTGCCTCAAGTGGTCATCGACCTTCTTCTTGAAGGTCTGCATCGCCTTCTGGAAGGGGCGAGCACTGAGGATAGAGGCTGTGAGGCAATTCCAGCTGTCAATCATACAGGGGGGGGGGGGGGGGGACCGAATGACATTGTTCCGAGACTGAGGTGGTACTGAGGTCTTGGTCAGCTGGAATGGACGGTGGTTCGCAACTCTGCGCACGCTGGCTCGGGTGCGGGCCCGGGCTGGAGCTGGCGGGGGTAGGAGGGCTGTGATCATGGCATGGCCAGTCAGATAGTGGAGCTTGAACAGGTAGCAAAGGGTCGCAACAGAGCGACGAATGTCCAGGCTAGGCAGGTACCAGCCATCACCGATAACGTGCAATGCCCTACGTTAGCGATGTCAAAATGCCGTGCCACGTGACCTCCACGCTTGTCGCTGGATTCCCTAGCAACCAGCTGAAATGATGGCACAAAAGGTCAGTACGGCAGAATGCCAGTCGCGGCCAGAGCGTGCAGTGCACGCGGGATATTCAAATGTGACCTGAAGACGTCAGTGACAAGCTTGGTCGTGACTATTGCCACGAAATAGAAGATGAACTTTCGTATCCGCGTTTGTGCGGGCGCGCTGCGCCTACGGAGCTGGGAGTATAGCCGCCGACAAGTTAGCGTATGTTCAGTCGCCTTTTTCATCTCTTGCGCTTCCTGATACAGGTTTGATTTTAGTTCCATCGTGTTCCCCGTCGTCCAATTTAGTTTGCTGCCAAGTTTCACCGGCGTATCAAGCCGCGCACCAGACTTGTAGTATTTTTCGCGACAGGTACTCCATTGCTGGATACACCGCCATCATGAGTGTTCGTCCAGCAAAGGGACCGGCGGTGAAGATGTTTTGTCGAGTCTTGGACTCAAGGAGGAGCAGCTATTGCAGGATAAGCCCCTGCCTAGCATGATCGGAAACGTTTCAAATGCATTGGTGTTAGAACTGATGAAGTTCAAAGCGGACCACCACCAGGATCATAATCTACTTGTCGAACTCTTCTTGTCTCGGAGAATGGCCAAATCACAACTCATACTTCGGCTACTCTTCAACAGTCTTCTTGAATTTCTCCAACAGTTTGCAGCAACAAAAAAACAAAACAGTACAGCTACGGTATGTACATTTTGTACAGTGCACAAGATTATTCATGAGCCGCGATCCCTGTTGTCAAGACCGATTTTGTGCCGTGGTGAGATCTGGCTTGTGTACAGTGCGGCATGGTGCTTTTCGACAATGGCGGCGCTTACCCCGCGCACTCTAAACTGGAATGAGTCCACTATGTTTGCTCCGGTTTGCTTCAAACTTTGCCAGTATACTCTACTTGTCTTCAGGAATCGGATGGTATTACAATATTTGCCCGATTCTCAAAACAGAAATTTACCCTGACATCGCTACCTACGTTGGATGGCTGGGAGCTGGGCTAGTGTGAAGGGTGCTGCGCTCAACCATACCAGCATCCCAAACTCCAGGATCGGCCGAACAAACCCACGGTATGCTACAACACGGCATTATGGGTTGAGAGCCATGGCAGCCTTGCGGACGAAGCCGAGTCGCTGCGCACCGCGTATTGCGAGAGACCATAATGTCCTGCTTGAAGCATAGCTGGCTGTCAAATGTTACTCCTAAGAGGCGGCGCTGATCCACCTCAGGTACGTCCGTCCCCTGGAATGTGGTAGAGGGAACTGGGTGGTGGGATCGTCGGTGGGTGATCGTGAGGGCTTACGACTTTGTCGGGTCAAACCTAATTCGCCAGAGGGTGCCCCAGTCGGCAAGTGCATCAACAGCCTGCTTGAGCGTTGCGACTCCATCTGGGATATTGTCTCGCGTTGTGATACACTTATATACCGTGGTGTCGTCGGCATATACTGCGAGTTTAGCCTCTTCAGGTAGGTGGTCCTATGCTTTGTTGATGTAGATCAGGTACAGCGTTGGGCCGAGGACTGGATTTCACGGGTAGTGGAGGCCTGGCCACCTACGACTGCTTTGATCTTGAGACTAGGAGATAACTCTGCAGGTAACAGAGCAGGAACCCTTTGACACCGTATTGCTCTGCCTTGCGAAGAGCTCCTGGGCGTGAGACCTCGTAGAAGGCCCCAGCGATGTCCACTGCAAGCACCCTGACAAGGCCTCCCTGGGCAGCTGTCTGGTGCCACTAATGCTGGAGTGCGAACAGAAGCCGAATTGCCGCAGTGACAGGGTAGAATTCTTCTCCAGGAAGTTGGACAGACCACAGTTGATTATCGACTCCATGCATTTGGATATGATAGACAACAGGGGGATCGGTCGGTAATTCTTGGGAGTGGACTTTGACCCTTTTTTGTGAACAGGCACAAAATTTGCAAGTTTCTAGGTTACAGGCTGATAGCCATTGCGGAAGCACGGGGCAAATAGCCGGTAAAGTGGGAGAGCGAACGGTTCGGCGCAGATCTTCACCATGGCAGGTATTTAGTCAGGTCCAGTGGCCTTCCTGGGGTTGAAAGAAAGCAGGGTGCGGCGCACTGTGGCTGGGCGGAAGTGGATTGTAGTGAGCAAGTTCTGGGAGCGTAGGCGAACAGAGAGCATTATGCAGGAGGCGTCAAAGTCATTCTCAAGGCTGCATTTATCAGCGAAGTACTGGCATATGAGTTCGGCCTTCTCGGTATTCCTGGTGTGCTCATTGCCATGGCTGTTGATGAGAACTGGGATAGAGCTGTCTCTACCGAGCCCTCCGGAGTGCTTGCTCAGGCTCCACTACTCCTAATCCTGGAGACTTCCTGTTGCAGGCTTCGCTCCGGTGTACTGGAGATGTGCTTGCTTAGCGCTGGATAATCGCGCACAGAAGCCAAGCATGCCCATCTCTACTCTGCCTGAAGAAGATTAGTCGAGTGCTTGCGGAGTCAGCGTCCCATGCCCACAAAACTACACTTAGTTACATTACTGCAGGAGGAGTCAGGATCATCAGTGATCAGTTCGTTCCACGCGGTTGCTTGGTAGAAGGGTGTGAGCAGAGGCCAATCAGCATGTTGGTAACGCCAAACGGTCCGGGTGTCTGGAATATCATGGGATGGAGTTAGCTGGAAGTTGGTGGCGATTACTGCATGGTCTGATCGACCAAAGGTTGGGTACATGGTGGGTTTAACCGCACCGGGGACATCCGACATGACTAAGTCAAGGGTGTTCCCGCCTCGAGTGGGCTCTGACACATGCTTGCAAGGTTGTGGATGAAGCAAAGGTCTTCGGCGGCTTCTCTGGCTGCTGTTGTGCGAATGCTACCAAGCCATTCATGGCAGTAGACATTAGAATCGCCTGCCACAAACATGTGGCAGCAAGACTGACGGGCAATGTCACTATCAGATTCGAGCTGTGTGAACATAGTCATTTCATGGTCAGGGCAGGTTCCAGGCCGGTAAGCTGCATATACTGCCATTCGTGTTCCTGTGTGGATGGTGATACTTACCCATAGGACCTCCTCGCCCGCAATGTTTATATTACAATTTTAAAGTTCATCCGCGCCTTTGATCCTAGAGGGTGTAGGCGTTCCCACGGCGGATGCGGAAAACTCGGCTTCCAGCCGAGTCTCACGCGAACCGTGAAATTTCTATATATTTATTTTTAGTGGATACGAATCTTCAGCCAGATTTTTTTGTATTTTATTATATTTAAGGATTTGCCAAAGGTTTGGTGCCTGCCCAGGGGATCTCCTGCAAGAAGAAAGAAATGACAACTTTACATGTATGTAGAGGGAGCAGTCAATCGAAGATAGGCTAAGGAAATAGATCGAGGCATACACAATCTGGTAATTAAGGAGTTGGGATACCGTCAGTGTAATGAATATATCAGCAAAATGCTGATAGGGAGAATTACTGAATTCGGGGAGGCTGGTTATAGAGGTAGGAGAAGGCGGTAGACAATTCCATAGCATTGCAGCTTTGTTGGAAAAGAGGGAAGAAAAACGCACACCGTGATAATTGATGTTAAGTTTATTTGGACTTCTTGCGCATGAAAACAGTGAAAGGTGAAAAATTGGAGGTGTTCTGGAGATATAGTTATGTACAAGTTTACTCAATCTGCGGACAGCATGCTGTTTCGTTCCTTGTGAACTCATCATATGTATAAGTTTAAATAGAGTAACAAGAGCTGATACTTGTCTACGAAAGTGCAAGGACTCTAAAGCTGCGTTCACAACTGGCGCGTGTATGCGGTACGCTTGCGGTTCATGCGTGTCCAAACTCACGCTCAGGCTTTGCCAAAAATAGCAATTCGAGTCGTATTTAGCGCGTGCGCCACCTTCAAGTACTAATTTGTTGACCCCACCAGTCAAGGTGACTGGCTTGTACGCTGTATGCGTCTGATACGCGCTGAAAATTCCAACATGTCGGAAGTTCCATTTCGGCTTGTTTCCGTATGCATGGCTCCCCAAAAGCCAGCAAAATACACACAAACATGTGGTTTCACGCGTACAGGCGTCAGTTGTGAACACAGCTTAAGTCCCAAAGGGCGTTAAACTGGGATTTCGTTTCGCATCTATTTACATTGACTTTTCATGTAGCAAATGCTTCCTAGCTACTCTGGCTTGTAAAACATTTAAACGCTCCAGCTCAGCTCTGGTGATGGCATAGGTCCAGGCCGAGGTGGCGTGTTCCAGGGCGGGTCGGACAAAACTTTTTTTAAAGTAGTAGAAAGGCTGTGGGGGAAAGATGCCGTCCCATGAAGCATAGCAGATTAACACGATGGATGCCGTCCCATGAAGCATAGCAGATTAACACGATGTTGGAAGGTTTCCAGGATGGTCTGAAGGTGGATGGTGTTTGACTGATCGGGTGTTAAATACACTCCAAGATGCTTCACAGCTTCAACGATGGTGATAGATTGGGAAAAGAGCTGGACAGGGTGTTCGTTGCTGTAGTTACGGATCTGAGTCGTTTTGGCTGGTAAGAACTCTCCACCGACGTTACTGGCCAATAGTTGGCCGGCAGAAAGGTCGCTCTCTAGACGAGATTGGTTCCACTGCAGGGAATTCTTGTTATCATGTACATACAGGAGGGTGACATCGTCAGTGAATAAGTATGGGGTGTAGTAGGTGATTGATGAGGGCAGGGAATTAACAAATAATAAGAAGAGGGTTGGAGCAAGATTAGATCCCTGCGGGACTCCACAGGTGAGGACCTTGGCCTCGGAATACTGTCCTTCCAACCTTACAGACAGCTTCCGCTCTAAGAAGCTTCGGAGCCAGTCGACTGCTGGCCTGTCAGCAATTCCTTCGAATGTATTTAGCAATGGTGGGGGATCTACACGATCATAAGCTTTCTTAAAGTCGAGGAAAACACAGTCGAACTTCAGCTTCTTGTCATTGCACTCAGCCATTTGAAATTGGCCTGCTACGGTGAGTTCTACCCTGGTGCAATGGTCACTCAACATGAATCATGACAAAATGGAGTACACTCATTTTGTTCTCTCTTTTTGCTTTGACTCTTCCTTCATGGTTTTACGCGACTGGCCCAACTGGTGTTGTGAATAAACCCGTTTGTTACAAAACCACCAGTTCTCCTGTGGGAAAGGCATTCTCGCTTATGACATTGTATTCGTTGCAATGTTGTAACTCGACTCCGCCGTACCGCTGATTTTTGCTGCATGGTATACGCTATATGCGCTATGTGTGATTCACTGTAAATACTATCATGTCATGTTATATATGTGTACGCTTTTCTGATATACACTGTCTTTTGCATGCTATAAATACCTGGTGATCTTAGTGTTAGTTATTATGTTCGAACAAGTGAAATACACCGTTAAGGGTCAATAGTTGTCCTCGTGCCGTGTGCAGTGTGGTCGTTCGTTCCTGACACTTTAGAGAATCAGACGGTTCACAACACCGTTCTCAAAGCATGTAAATGTACATATCTGTACTCAGTATACTGTATGAGGTGACTTCAAGAGTTCAAGTACCGCTTTGAGCCAAATTCTGACTTTGGGGCTCATAGTATGGCCGAATTTGGACATTGTCTTAGCCGATAAAAAAGCCGATTAGGCGAGAAAATCGGGCCGATTTTGGAAATGACAAAACACAGCTTCCCCATCACTACCTCTCTCTCTCTCCCTCTTGTGTGTGCCTCTGCCCCTATATGGGTATTGAGCACTCTTCGGACAATTGAGCACGCTCCTTGATTACATTTAATCAGCATTATAATTAGAGAGGTTTTGCATTCCGAATTTCGGAATTATTTTCGGAATGTCGCGGCAGCAGTCGAAAAAGTAGTCGAACTTTCGGAAGTATGGTGGCGAAAGTGCATGGTTTTCCGAAAATGGATTTTCGGCTCTTTCATGTTTGGGAGTGCATATTTGAATACAAAAAAGTGTATTTTTCATGTTTGTATTTTTGCTTTCTGCTGCTCTCGATTATTTGAAAAAATTTCCATGTACAGTACATATGTAGTTTTGATTTTTGCTGCTCTCGCTGATTTCGCCATGTTGACTAATCTTCTCACACTCCATCACACTCTATCTTCCTTTGCCATGGAGCCTACTGACAGTACAAGACAGTAGTTCGCCAACGTTTTCAACCTCGTCTTCAGCTGTTGGATCACTTGGTCCACCATCAGTCCGTCCTCGTCTTCGAACCGCACCCAAATTCAGTTTGACCTGCGCACATGGATTTGATCCTGCTCAACCCCTTCAACGCTCTCCATTTTGTTTTGCATGGCAAACCTTGGAAACGAAGTCGAATCTGATTTTCGGAATGCAAAACACTGAAAATACCGTTTTTCGGAACGCGCTTTTTTCGGAAAAGCACAGTCGAAAATCATTCCGAAATTCGGAATGCAAAACCTCTCTAATAATCACTCAGAAAGTGGTGGGCATCGCGCAACTGCATCGTAAAAAAAGGGGTTTGTCAACTGGCAACCGCTCTATTCAGTTGCTATTCACTCTTGGCGCAAGCGCTGGATGAAAAATTATCATTTATAGAGTAGCTTTTGGAGCATTATGACTAGAACTATACAAACCATTTTCGGAGCATTATCCGCTGGATCCGAGCACTGGACGGGACAACAACAAATACAACAATGGAACCGAGAAGCACTCAAACGCCAGCTTAGCAGATTTCATGACTTCCTAGAATTAGTGTCAATCATTACCGGCAGTGTATTAGTGTTAACTGTGTCCATTACGTGAGTTTGATTTGTCCCTCCTACATTTTAGAGCCCCGGGCTAAGAAAAGGGTGCTATTGGCCTCACTCGCACAACTGAGAAAAGGGCACTTGAAAGCAGGGTACAGACCTTCGCTCTGTAAAGTTGCCTTCACATCTGTGGCCGTTACTAATAAATACTTCGAGATTTTTCAACACGGTTTTCCGCATATGAATCAGTGAGATTTTGAGTTTTAAGTATGCTATCTAACTCAATTTGACCAAAAATAACAATAGCACCCTTTTCTCAGCCCGAGGCTCATTACATTTTATGTACTCCTTGTGTTTCAACCTGGCTGGTGGTCTAGAGCGAGATGAATGTCTACATCAGATTCATAATTGCGACTCCAATGCTGCGTGTACCAACACGGTTAGGTCCTACAACTGCACGTGTAACTCTGGGTTTTACGGTGACGGCATATCCTGCAAAGGTATGTTACAATTGTTATCGGTATGATAATGTGTTATGCCAAATAGAGCTTCAACGGAATGGTTTTGTTCTGGCAACTTCAGTTGCGCTCCGTGAAATCCAGCCCATAGTGCACATTTGGCACCCTCAACTTGTACGGCCTTTGACGCTCTGAAAGCGGCATGAATGCATCTGGATGTACAAAGGGTCCAGCGGATAATGCCGGAATTTTGCTCGGCGTTATGAGACTATCCGAGCATCAGAGCATTATGAAGCATTAGATTCAAACAAAACGAGCATTGTGTGATGTTTTAGCGGCATTACAAATTGCTTAGTAGATAATTATTTTGAAATCCCTGTTCTTTTTCTCAACAATCTGCTATATGCAGTCATGAGTTCCAACCCTCGTCGTGCCTGAAATGCGTAGATCTACGGTTGCAGCACATTCTACCATGTACCTGTAGCCGTACATGACTTTGTGGACAAGTAACACTTTTAGCACTTTGTTCGCTGTAAGTAGCAATGCAGTCAGGTACGTACCGGTAAATGTACAGTCATGTACGTACAGTCGGAGTCAAAGAAATATGGCGCATGATAAAAGCCAAAGGCAGCACCCATGGGGCCCTAGGATGTTTTTAAACGGTTTTTGGACGGTGCAAGATGTATTGTAATAGAGTTTGGACTTGAAATGAGCCGAGGCACTACAACCAAAGATGTTCCACAAATTCGAAACGATGATTTACATGGAGTAGATGTTTGTTTAGAAATATTGGAGAGCCATGGATCATGGAGAAGACAGACGAAGAGGAGTTTTCTCGTTGTGCCTCAGACCCTGGCGATGGTGTCTCCACCAGGATGAAGGAACGGCTATGAACAGAAAGCGGAGAGCGTTCCAAAGAACTGTCTTTGCTATGTCCAGCCGAGGCCAGGAGGCTCGAAGAAAAACTAGAATTACCCGTACTCAAGGACTCAGTTACAAATCCATATGAGCTCTCAGCATTGCGTGCCCGACTTTTCTAGTGAAGCAGGTACTGGTAGTTGTGGACGGTTGTAATGCCAAGCCTGCAGTCAAATGCTATAAAAAAAGAGGAGTATATTGGTCCTGCATTTATCTACACAAGACCAAGGGGAGAAGAAACCACCACAAGCAAAGGCTGTAGAATGGTACAATAACTTCCTACCACGTGTTTTCCCAAAGTTGGAGGGATCTCAATTCATGATCATCTCTCACGAACTGACGTAATGTCTCCTGTTTAGGATAAGGCACTTTTCACACAGTGGGATCAGTGACAGGTTGTCTGCAGGCAGGAATACCACTTGCCAAGATAAGCTTCCAGCATCCATATGATCGGCGCCACGCCGCCGAGCATGGTAACAAATCGGCCGTGAGTAAGTTCACAAAGGAACTGGAGCATTCCGTGAACGAAAGCAACATCCGGAATTGCAAGCGCCTCTACCTGGGACGCTTGAAAGACTTGAAGAGTCCCGACTTGGTGACGACTCTCCCTCATGCAGCTGGGGGTCACTCACTGCTGCTTGGCGACCTGGACGGTGAAGTTGCTGAATACGTAAAAGCTTTGCGACAAGCTGGTGGCTGCGTCAGCACAAGTATCATCATCGCTGGCGCGAAGGGAATCGTCGCGCACCGTAAAAAAAAGAACCACCTGAAAAGACCAAATCGCTAAAATTTCCCGTCGTTAACAGGGGCGTTTTTTCAAAACGCTAAAGTTGCACGCCGCAAAAGTTTCCCGGTTTACAGTAGCCCTGCCCCCAGTGAAGGTAATACTTGCTACTAGTGTGGGTGGCTAAATCAGATGGCGGGGAGACTTGGCTGAAGTGGTAGGCTTTGACATGCCACGTTGGTTTTGCTGAAATCTTGACACGCCTATTGCGCTTCATGCCTTCGCGGACGCCAGTGAGAAGGCGTTTCGATGCTCTTTGTGTGCAGTGATCAATGGAGAGTCACACTTGGTATTTGCCAAGGTCAAAGTGGCAACGGTGTCTCCGCCCACGTTAGCCCGCCTTGAGTTACATGCAGTATGTCTAGCGGCTTGCTATGCGGAGTTTGTGGTGAAGCAGCTGCGAGTGACCTTCACGCAAGTCTATGGCTGAACTGACAGTCTCACTACCGTTCATTGGATCGGTAATCCATCGAACGAATGGAAAACATTTGTGGTGAACCACGTCTGTCAAGACCAAGAGATATCGAAGAAGGTCGGCATTGTGTGGAACCATTGCCCGGGCCTTCACAACCCGGCAGATTTTCCGTCACGTGGGAGTAATGCACAGCAGATCCGTAGTCCGTTCTTGTTGGGCGGGCCAACCTGGATCACGGAGCCCAATGACTGGCCCACCGCATCCCCAACCGCTGGTACTGATGAGTCCAGTGTAGAAGTGCGAGTGTCACCCACCACCTGTAGTCGAGAATCTGATAATGAATGGTGGCTCCGATTCAGTAAGTGGTCGTGGGCAGGGCATGGCGACTCGGATGTGGTTGGATACATTGGTGATGGCCAAGCTGGAAACTGCCGCAGTTAGTACCAATAGTACAGTCGGTGGATATTTCCACTTGATGATGGTGTGCTGTGTTTGCGAACCAAACCATTTCCTGTTTTCTTGTGTGGTATTGAAAGCTGGTCAGAGTTCCTTTTTGTGTTTGTTCTTTTTTTGCCGCATTGCGGCTTCGCCATAGCTACGGGAATTAAAGTTATGTTATATATATGCATTGCGGCTTCGCCATAGCTACGGGAACGAGAGAGCTTGGAAGCTCAGGGCCCTACGCTATGCTTTGTTACTTAGCTCATCGTGCATGTTGTGGGAACTGATGGAAATGTTTCCTTGGAAGGCGCTGACTCTGCCGAGCACGCGCAATCTGGAGTCGACGGGATCACTCTGCCGACGTTTCCTGTGACCGGCGCTGACTCACCCGTTCACGCCTATTTTGGAGACGACGGGATCTCTCTTCCAAAGTATGTCTTTGCTGACGCATCCTATCACCTATTCGGCAACTAACATCCATTGTAATTTCATTTCCTCCTCGTCTCCCTATTTCTTTCCAGAAAGTCTCTCTATACATCAGGGAGTCGTACTGTATTGGCAGCTACCCTAACGGGTCACGCCGCCCACCACCCAAGCATGGGTATGATGAGGGACAGTGGCAACAAAAACAAAACTGAAACAGCAAGCAGGGAGAGAAAGCAAGAGAAAGACGGCGATGGTAGTACATCTGGTGTGCGACGTATAGAAAAGAGAGATGACAAGAGATGCGCACAAAATAGGAAACAATAATTATTTTTGCAGTTCCGAAACAATCAACCAGGTGATGGAGTGTGGGCACCCGAAGTCCCACCTGGACTCCACTGGAAGAACATCCTACGCAGGGATATCAGCGATAGGCCAAGCGTTGAAAAACAGCCATGAGGACACATCGTCTAGAAGTCCACCGCGCTCGAACTGAAATTGCAGGTTCAAACAATTTCCCACGCGGCATCAGGCAGCGTAATTCTTCTCCCTGCATCACCATCCATCTCCAGCAACCGTCTCCACTCACAGCTCATGCCTCTGCCACCACTGTACTCCTCCGAGCTTCGCAGTTTGAAACCATTCGGGGGTCAGCTACACCTCCGCGAATGGAGAGACGAGGACGACAATGGTCGTGACTGAAAAGACACTGCCTTGGCGACCGCGTCGCGGAACCCTCGCCCCAGCAAATTCAGAAATACGCCAGGGGCAACTCTGGTGGACCCAGAGCCAACCCCTTGGCAAGATTAGTAAGAGGAACGACTGAAAACTCAGATATAACGGAGCTACAAAAAGTTCAACCGTCCCCTTCAAGCACAGTTGCAGCACACAGGGAGTCGTATACATGTACATAATATTGTGGCCAGCTGTTTGTAGCCAGCTGTGTTTGATGGTACGGTACGGTACGGAACAGATATGCGAGCCAGCAAATGGCCAGCTGTGCGACACTGTACGGGACAGATACGGGATAGTGCCAGGCGTGACACAAACAAACAAACAAACAAACAAACAAACAAACACCAAATTAAAGCTGTGTGGACCCTGGCTAGCGCCAGACGTTACTGAAGTAACGTCTTCTGCATAGCTACGGGAATTAAAGTTATGTTATTATCTTGTTACAGTTGTGTACATTTGCTTCATAACTCGTTTCCAAGTGATTTCCCTGGGCTAACCCTTTCGAACGTTGGAGTATTCGTTCATCTCTAGTTGCTGCCAACAGCGATAATTGCTGTGCCATTGTGATCACGTGTGCCAGTAATGACTGTTATTTTGTTTGTGTCTTGTCTGATTTTTCAATTGCAGTTGTTACATGCGCTACTCCATTAGCGCCTACATTTGGCAGTTTCTCTCTACCGGCTGGTGTATCAAGCTTTGTCTATAACACACTGGGAACATTTGCCTGCAATCCCGGCCATCACCTTGTCGGCCATGCCACCACACAGTGTTTAGCCAATGGTGATGTCAGCAGCACACCGCCCATGTGCCAGAACGTCAATGAGTGTGCAAGTCCCACTTTGCATACATGCGATCAAAATGCGTTGTGTAGTGATGTGATTGGAACGTTCAGCTGCAAGTGTATGGTTGGGTACACTGGCGATGGACAAGCTGGAAACTGCCACAGTTAGTACCAATAGTAAAGTCAGTGGATATTTCCACTTGATGATGGTGTGCAATGCATGCAAACCAAACCATTTCCTGTTTTCTTGTGTGGTATTGAAAGCTGGTCAGAGCTCCTTTTTGTGTTTGTTAGTTCTTTGCCGCATTTTCTGCTGCTTCTGCCATAACACCCCAGAGTGCCCACTGTCCGCTGAAATGATCTGTGCAGCAGCAGTTTGCATGATGTATCGGTACACATGTTCTGCTGGTTTCAGAATTTGGACAAGTATAGATTATACCAGAGTTTGTAGAATCAATCGACAGCGACACGGGTGTTCCTAATCCCGAGAAAAGATCAAATGGGCCAGTGCATGCAATACCATGTCTAAGGGCTAATTTTTGGAAATTTTTTCTTTCTTGAAAATCAATCACAGGGGTCTAGAGAACACCTCTGTGGAAGATAAAGTTGGATATCGCATTTGAAAGTACATAGAGACCATGATTTCTATGCCATTGTCCAACATAGAATATGCCTTGTATAATGCATTATCTACAGTGTCGCTGAAAGCAGCAACAGTTTTGCGTATCAGCCTTTAGCATTGGCCAAGACATTCAATGAAGGCTGCCTTGTTCTCCAGTCAAAACCGGGCAACATTGTCCAGCAAGTGCTTGCGGTGTTGAGCTAACAAGAACTCGAGTTCTTTTTGTGCAAAGACAACATGGTCACAGAGTGGTTCCCCTCAATATTGGCCCAATATTGGCAAGATTTATGGGTCTACAAACGAGCCACGGCACAGCGTACAAGAACAAGCTACGAACAAAACTACATCAAGCCAACATTACCGCACCTTAGAAGAGTTCTTGGGGCAGCACCACTTATCCACGCCAGCATCCCAGAAGACGAGGGCAATCATCCCTGGACGCCACAAATGATCGTCTTGAAAAAAGGCAAATTACAAGCGCTGATAAAACAGCGAGCTACGTCCTCAATTAGCAAACACTATACACCGGCAGATAGTAGAACACCTCTCAGTCTAGCACTGAGGACATGTCCCCCATCATCCTTTTTGGGTTTTTGTGAAATAAACAATTTTGAATTTTTCCACTCGACCATTCTGAAATATGTCCCAACTCATACCTGCGCAGGAAAGCTCGCCCATCCGCGACGTCTAGTCAGCAATTTCTACTCCAACACCACTCCCAACGCTGCAGAACAAAGTGTATTGTTGACTCTGACAAGAAAAAGCAGCGGTGATCACTTGTCACTCCAAACGACAAGCTTCTCCTTGCGCCACCAACATTTTTCGGTGCAACAGTTGATGCAAAAGTGACTGAATTTTTGCGTGTAGTTTTTGGATTTTACTGCAAGAGGAATAATGAAATCACGTGCTTTGTGACACAAGAATGCCAGGTCTCGTAGATCACGGTTCAGCAGTTGTTCCGAGTCATCAGGGTATCCGTCCTGGGATCCAACTGCACTTACTGTAAACCGGGAAACTTTCGCGAGCGGATAATTTTCGCGAGTTTCGCGATCACCGGCAAAACGCGAATTGGAATCGCCGCGAACTGAAGAATTTGAACGGAAGTAGTGCATCGCGTACTACGCTGGTCAGTACTACAGTCAGTGTACAAGACTGTCTGTAGCTGTGTGCATGCCTTGTCTATGTGACTGTACTATCATGTACATGACTGTGCTGAGCTGTTTCGCGAAAGGTGCGCGCGGAACTAGCTGTTCGTTCAGATCCGTCAAATGACATGACTGTTGTTGTTTGCCGGTTGAATCTGAAATTATCGCGGATAATCTTTCGTAACTTTGTCACTTCTTTCAAGTTCTTTGCCGAAGTTGGAGTTGTTCGTTTATGCTTTTACTGTTGTAAATTGTCAAGAGTCATGTCGCTTTTTCAGTGGATCAGCTCTCAGAAGAAAGCATCTGGGTCAACCAATGCGCCTGTGCCTGCTTACTTACCGCCGGCGGAGAAAAGCAGCGCAACAGAGGCAGCCAACACTGCTGAAATGGAGGAGCTCGCTTCGACCGATAAGAAGCGAAAACTAGGCAGTTATCACCATTACTCTGACGAAGTCCGAGCTCGTATGGGGCGCCACGCCGCCGAGCATGGTAACAAATCGGCCGTGAGTAAGTTCACAAAGGAACTGGAGCATTCCGTGAACGAAAGCACCATCCGGAATTGCAAGCGCCTCTACCTGGTACGCTTGAAAGACTTGAAGAGTACCGACTTGGTGACGACTCTCCCTCATGCAGCTGGGGGTCACTCACTGCTGCTTGGCGACCTGGACGGTGAAGTCGCTGAATACGTAAAGGCTTTGCGACAAGCTGGTGGCTGCGTTAGCACAAGTATCATCATCGCTGGCGCGAAGGGAATCATCGTGCACCGTAAAAAAAAGAACCACCTGAAAAGACCAAATCGCTAAAACTTCCCGTCGTTAACAGGGGCGTTTTTTCAAAACGCTAAAGTTGCACGCCGCAAAAGTTTCCCGGTTTACAGTAGCCCTGCCCCCAGTGAAGGTAATACTTGCTACTAGTGTGGGTGGCTAAATCAGATGGCGGGGAGACTTGGCTGAAGTGGTAGGCTTTGACATACCACTTTGGTTTTGCTGAAATCTTGACATGCCTATTGCGCTTCATGCCTTCGCGGACGCCAGTGAGAAAGCGTTTCGATGCTCTTTGTATGCAGTTATTAATGGAGAGTCACTCTTGGTATTTGCCAAGGTCAAAGTGGCAACGGTGTCTCCGCCCACGTTAGCCCGCCTTGAGTTACATGCAGTATGTCTAGCGGCTTGCTATGCTGAGTTTGTGGTGAAGCAGCTGCGTGTGACCTTCACGCAAGTCTATGGCTGAACTGACAGTCTCACTACCGTTCATTGGATCGGTAATCCATCGTACAAATGGAAAACATTTGTGGTGAACCACGTCTGTCAAGACCAAGAGATATCGAAGAAGGTCGGCATTGTGTGGAACCATTGCCCGGGCCTTCACAACCCAGTAGATTTTCCGTCACGTGGGAGTAATGCACAGCAGATTCGTAGTCCGTTCTTGTTGGGCGGGCCAACCTGGATCACAGAGCCCAATGACTGGCCCACCGCATCCCCAACCGCTGGTACTGATGAGTCCAGTGTAGAAGTGCGAGTGTCACCCACCACCTGTAGTCGAGAATCTGATAATGAATGGTGGCTCCGATTCAGTAAGTGGTCGTGGGCACAGGGCATGGCGACTCGTATGTGGTTGGATACATTGGCGATGGCCAAGCTGGAAACTGCCGCAGTTAGTACCAATAGTAAAGTAGGTGGATATTTCCACTTGATGATGGTGTGCTGTGTTTGGAAACCAAACCATTTCCTGTTTTCTTGTGTGGTATTGAAAGCTGGTCAGAGTTCCTTTTTGTGTTTGTTCTTTTTTTGCCGCATTGCGGCTTCGCCATAGCTACGAGAATTAAAGTTATGTTATTATCTTGTTACAGTTGTGTACATTTGCTTCATAACTCGTTTCCAAGTGATTTCCCTGGGCTAACCCTTTCGAACGTTGGAGTATTCGTTCATCTCTAGTTGCTGCCAACAGCGATAATTGCTGTGCCATTGTGATCACGTGTGCCAGTAATGACTGTTATTTTGTTTGTGTCTTGTCTGATTTTTCAATTGCAGTTGTTACATGCGCTACTCCATTAGCGCCTACATTTGGCAGTTTCTCTCTACCGGCTGGTGTATCAAGCTTTATCTATAACACACTGGGAACATTTGCCTGCGATCCCGGCCATCGGCTTGTCGGCCATGCCACCACACAGTGTTTAGCCAATGGTGATGTCAGCAGCACACCGCCCATGTGCCAGAACGTCAATGAGTGTGCAAATACCACTTTGCATACATGCGATCAAAATGCGTTGTGTAGTGATGTGATTGGAACGTTCAGCTGCAAGTGTATGGTTGGGTACACTGGCGATGGACAAGCTGGAAACTGCCACAGTTAGTACCAATAGTAAAGTCAGTGGATATTTCCACTTGATGATGGTGTGCAATGCATGCAAACCAAACCATTTCCTGTTTTCTTGTGTGGTATTGAAAGCTGGTCAGAGCTCCTTTTTGTGTTTGTTAGTTCTTTGCCGCATTTTCTGCTGCTTCTGCCATAACACCCCAGAGTGCCCACTGTCCGCTGAAATGGTCTGTGCAGCAGCAGTTGGCATGATGTATCGGTACACATGTTCTGCTGGTTTCAGAATTTGGACAAGTATAGATTATACCAGAGTTTGTAGAATCAATCGACAGCGACACGGGTGTTCATAATCCCGAGAAAAGATCAAATGGGCCAGTGCATGCAATACCATGTCTAAGGGCTAATTTTTGGAAATTTTTTCTTTCTTGAAAATCAATCACAGGGGTCTAGAGAACACATCTGTGGAAGATAAAGTTGGATATCGCATTTGAAAGTACATAGAGACCATGATTTCTATGCCATTGTCCAACATAGAATATGCCTTGTATAATGCATTATCTACAGTGTCGCTGAAAGCAGCAACAGTTTTGCGTATCTGCCTTTAGCATTGGCCAAGACATTTAATGAATGCTGCCTTGTTCTCCAGTCAAAACCGGGCAACATTGTCCAGCAAGTGCTTGCGGTGTTGAGCTAACAAGAACTCGAGTTCTTTTTGTGCAAAGACAACATGGTCACAGAGTGGTTCCCCTCAATATTGGCCCAATATTGGCAAGATTTATGGGTCTACAAACGAGCCACGGCACAGCGTACAAGAACAAGCTACGAACAAAACTACATCAAGCCGACATTACCGCACCTTAGAAGAGTTCTTGGGGCAGCAACACTTATCCACGCCAGCATCCCAGAAGACGAGGGCAATCATCCCTTGACGCCACAAATGACCGTCTTGAAAAAAGCCAAATTATAAGCGCCAATAAAACAGCGAGCTACGTCCTCAATTAGCAAACACTATACACCGGCAGATAGTAGAACACCTCTCAGTCTAGCACTAAGGACATGTCCCCCATCATCCTTTTTGGGTTTTCGTGAAATAAACAATTTTGAATTTTTCCACTCGACCATTCTGAAATATGTCCCAACTCATACCTGCGCAGGAAAGCTCGCCCATCCGCGACGTCTAGTCAGCAATTTCTACTCCAACACCACTCCCAACGCTGCAGAACAAAGTGTATTGTTGACTTTGACAAGAAAAAGCAGCGGTGATCACTTGTCACTCCAAACGATAAGCTTCTCCTTGCGCCACCAACATTTTTCGGTGCAACAGTTGATGCAAAAGTGACTGAATTTCTGCGTGTAGTTTTTGGATTTTACTGCAAGAGGAATAATGAAATCACGTGCTTTGTGACACAAGAATGCCAGGTCTCGTAGATCACGGTTCAGCAGTTGTTCCGAGTCATCAGGGTATCCGTCCTGGGATCCAACTGCACTTACTGTAAACCGGGAAACTTTCGCGAGCGGATAATTTTCGCGAGTTTCGCGATCACCGGCAAAACGCGAATTGGAATCGCCGCGAACTGAAGAATTTGAACGGAAGTAGTGCATCGCGTACTACGCTGGTCAGTACTACAGTCAGTGTACAAGACTGTCTGTAGCTGTGTGCATGCCTTGTCTATGTGACTGTACTATCATGTACATGACTGTGCTGAGCTGTTTCGCGAAAGGTGCACGCGGAACTAGCTGTTCGTTCAGATCCGTCAAATGACATGACTGTTGTTGTTTGCCGGTTGAATCTGAAATTATCACGGATAGTCTTTCGCAACTTTGTCACTTCTTTCAAGTTCTTTGCCGAAACTGGAGTTGTTCGTTTATGCTTTTACTGTTGTAAATTGTCAAGAGTCATGTCGCTTTTTCAGTGGATCAGCTCTCAGAAGAAAGCATCTGGGTCAACCAATGCGCCTGTGCCTGCTTACTTACCGCCGGCGGAGAAAAGCAGCGCAACAGAGGAAGCCAACACTGCTGATATGGAGGAGCTCGCTTCGACCGATAAGAAGCGAAAACTAGGCAGTTATCACCATTACTCTGACGAAGTCCGAGCTCGTATGGGGCGCCACGCCGCCGAGCATGGTAACAAATCGGCCGTGAGTAAGTTCACAAAGGAACTGGAGCATTCCGTGAACGAAAGCATCATCCGGAATTGCAAGCGCCTCTACCTGGGACGCTTGAAAGACTTGAAGAGTCCCGACTTGGTGACGACTCTCCCTCATGCAGCTTGGGGTCACTCACTGCTGCTTGGCGACCTGGACGGTGAAGTCGTTGAATACGTAAAGGCTTTGCGACAAGCTGGTGGCTGCGTCAGCACAAGTATCATCATCGCTGGCGCGAAGGGAATCATCGCGCACCGTAAAAAAAAGAACCACCTGAAAAGACCAAATCGCTAAAATTTCCCGTCGTTAACAGGGGCGTTTTTTCAAAACGCTAAAGTTGCACGCCGCAAAAGTTTCCCGGTTTACAGTAGCCCTGCCCCCAGTGAAGGTAATACTTGCTACTAGTGTGCGTGGCTAAATCAGATGGCGGGGAGACTTGGCTGAAGTGGTAGGCTTTGACATGCCACGTTGGTTTTGCTGAAATCTTGACACGCCTATTGCGCTTCATGCCTTCGCGGACGCCAGTGAGAAAGCGTTTCGATGCTCTTTGTATGCAGTCATCAATGGAGAGTCACACTTGGTATTTGACAAGGCCAAAGTGGCAGCGGTGTCTCCGCCCACGTTAGCCCGCCTTGAGTTGCATGCAGTATGTCTAGCGTCTTGCTATGCTGAGTTTGTGGTGAAGCAGCTGCGTGTGACCTTCATGCAAGTCTATGGCTGGACTGACAGTCTCACTACCGTTCATTGGATCGGTAATCCATCGTACAAATGGAAAACATTTGTGGTGAACCACGTCTGTCAAGACCAAGAGATATCGAAGAAGGTCGGCATGGTGTGGAACCATTGCCCGGGCCTTCACAACCCGGCAGATTTTCCGTCACGTGGGAGTAATGCACAGCAGATCCGTAGTCCGTTCTTGTTGGGCGGGCCAACCTAGATCACGGAGCCCAATGACTTGCCCACCGCATCCCCAACCGCTTGTTCTGATGAGTCCAGTGTAGAAGTGCGAGTGTCACCCACCACCTGTAGTCGAGAATCTGATAATGAATGGTGGCTCCGATTCAGTAAGTGGTCGTGGGCACAGGGCATGGCGACTCGGATGTGGTTGGATACATTGGCGATGGCCAAGCTTAGTACCAATAGTAAAGTCCGTGGATATTTCCACTTGATGATGTGTAATGTTCTCCCGACGTCCTTAGTACGTATCGAGAGCACACCAAAATACCAACTCAACACGGTCTCGTTGTGAGGCAAAGAACCCTTTTCATTATCAGTGCAAGAACACAAATCATAGTGAAAGAAAACATAATACAGCAAGGCAGTCGCGGGTACTCCATGTCTGGATCTAGTAGAGTACTTGAGGGTACGCTGCGGTGCATGAGACATCTAGATATGGGATGAATCATGAAAGGGATACTGTAATTGATAGTCTACAAGAGAAGAGTACAAATAAGAGAAACAAGCATGCACAATGGGTACACACACACATACAAGATAACACTACATCTCCCCTTCTTCAAAAAGGAGAAAGAGCATAGCAGTGAAAGTTGGAAAGAGAAAGACAAGACGAGAAGACCAAATAATGCAAAACATTTATGTATAATCCTATCCCTCCCTTCCGCAAAAGAAGAAGAACACACACATACACACATACACGCATACGCATGAGAAAAGCGTAGAGAAGAGTAGAGCAACAGAGCAAGAGATGAAAGAGGTAATGGTGATGCGAGTTCAGTGGTAGATCAGAGCAAGAGTTCAGTCAGAGAAACCATAACGATCAGGAGGCATCACTGTACGACCACTACGAGTAATGGTTGTGCCTGCTGATGTTGTACTGGATGTAGGAACGGCTGAGTGTGTAGAAGAGTTTGTAGACGATGTGGTACTTGTTGTCGTAGGTTGTTGTGGACGCGGTGGTGTTGTATCTGGTGCTGAAGCTGCTTTCGGAACCTGCGCAACCGGAGGTGCGGACGGCAAAGCAACAATGTGTCGACGGTTGCGACGATATTCACCCGAGGGTGTAGACACAACATATGAGCGAATGGCGGGTTGACGGAGTACTGCACCAGTCTCATGGCGATCCGTTAGATAGACTGGTTGCTCAGCTTGTAGAGGCGGCAGAGAACGAGTACGGTGCCGATCGTTGTAGTTGCTTGTTTGCCGGGCTTTGAGAGCTGCATCGGCGGCGGCAAAGTCAGATGTCGAAATCAACTGAGGTTGCAGTTGCGAGCTAGACACGGGGACACGTGAACGGAGCTGTGCAGGACTGTAAGGAGCCGTGCAGGACTGTAACCGGATTCCAGAGGAGTATTGCGATACGTGAGCAACGCACTGCACCAATCTGGAGAGGCAGTGAATAGATGCTTGACGGTTTTAACGGATCTTTCGGCGAGACCATTTGCCTGCGGATATAGCGGAGAACTGGTTACGTGCAGGAATGAGAACTCCTCGGCAAATCGACGGAACTCCTCCGACGCAAACTGTGGACAGTTGTCCGACATCAATGTCTCGGGAATACCGTGACGGGCAAAGATACTTTGCAGGTGCGTAATTACAGCCTTGGATGATGTTGACGTCAGCTGGACGACTTCGATGTAGCGAGAGTAGTAGTCTACTAGTAGGAGAAAGTCACCCGAACCAAAGTGGAACAGGTCAGCAGCTAGACGTTGCCATGGTAGTTCAGGGAGTGTTGTTGGGATGAGCGGTTCAGCTGGTAGAGTGTGCATGTGGGCGCACGTCGAGCAATTTGCAACATACAGCTGAATATCCGAATTGATGGAGGGCCACCAGACAGAGTTGCGGGCAAGACGGCGTCACTTGGCTATGCCCTGGTGTCCAGTGTGGAGCCGTGACAGAATTTTGTCGCGATGAGATGCGGGAATGATCAACCTGTCGTTGTAGAGCAGCAGACCGTCATCGGTAAGTGTGATGTGTGCCCGGTGTTCTACGTATGGTCGAACATCAGAAGGAGCGTCGGATGAGTGTGGCCAGCCGTCAGCGCAGTAGCGAGCAAGCGACTCACACACTTGATCAGATTCTTGCCACTCGGCGATGTCATCGAGGCGTTTAGTTGTTGCAGGCAGACAATCAACGGCGTAGTCGACGAGCGCTGCTGTCTCAGCTGCGAGGAGATCAACATCTTGGCTGTCGACTTGTTCTGATGAAACAGGTGCTCTGGAGAGAGCGTCAGCAATGGCGAGATCCTTGCCTGGCACGTGAACAATGCGGAAATTGAAACGAAGGAGCCTCAGACGGAAACGGACAATTCTAGGCGGTAGGTCGTCTAGAGCACGGCTGCCTAGAAGCGGGATGAGCGGCTTGTGGTCGGCCTGGATCGTAAACGGCTTGCCAAGTACGAAATGTTCGAAACGATCGCATGCCCAAGTAGAAGCAAGAGCCTCTTTCTCGATTTGAGAATAGCGGGTCTCAGCTGGTGTCAGAGAACGGGACTGATATGCAACTGGACGAATGGAGCCGTCAGACTGCACCTGGAGGAGGACTGCTCCCACGCCGAATGATGAGGCGTCGGCAGATATGATCGTATCCAGGGTAGTCGAGTACATCGCCAGTACTGGATGCGAACTGAGGGCTGACTTGATCGCGTCGAATGCTGCTTGGTGCTCCTCGGTCTAGGACCATTCCTGGCCTTTGACCAGGAGAGCACGCAGTGGCTGAGACATCGTTGCCAGATCAGGTACGAACTTTCCCAGCTGATTCGCCATGCCGAGGAAACGACGTACTGCTGGGACATCCGTGCAGGGTTTCAGCTCCTGAACGCCGCGCACTTTCTGGGGATCAGGGTGGATGCCGTTGTCGTCGAGGATGTGGACCACCGATTCATGCAATCCCTCCCAGCACATGCTGCTTTTCAGTAATGCCACTGCCCGCTGTACTATTATTTCCTTTACTGGCCTAACTGGCTTTAACAAAGTAATACTTTACTACCCACTCTACTCAGTGTCATTACCTTCATTGGCCTTTTATAATTTATTCTCCTTTTTAGTCGATATCATGTAATTAGGCAAATTTGCCTGTTTGTTCTTCGACTCTAAATAAACAAACAAACAAACAAAAAATGTGTCCCAGGAACTTGACTGAACGTTGGTGGAAAGCACACTTGTCTGGGTTGAGTGTGATTCCGGCTGATGAGAGACGTTTGCAGGACTGCATGCAGATTCTTCTCCTCCTCGTGTTCGTTGTCACCGAAGGTTAGAACGTCGTCAATCATGCACATTGTGCCTGGCAGGTCGCTCAGCAGGTCAGACATCTGCTTCTGGAAGTACTCAGGTGCAGAGGAGATGCCAAACGGGAGTCGTCGAAAGCAGAAACGACCGATGGGCGTAATGAATGTTGTTAGCAGTTGAGATTCCAGCGAGAAGGGGATCTGGTGAAAGCCCTTGTTCGCGTCCAGCTTCGAGAAGACCTTGACTGTGCCGAGGCGAGCAAGCAGGTGATCGGTTGTTGGCATGATGTGACGTTCCCGTCGGATAGCCTGGTTGAGTCCGGTAAAGTCGCCACATATGCGCACGTTACCGTTGGGTTTAGGAACCACTACCATACCGGCACACCAATCGGTTGGCTCAGTTACCTTGCGAATGACACCACTCTGTTCGAGGGCCTGCAGTTCTTCGATATCTTTGGCTTCCATCGGTAGAGAGATACGGCGTGGTGTAGGCAGAGAGTAAGGCTGTGCATTATCGACCAGGCGAATCGCGTGCTCGCTGCCAAACGAACCAACTCCCGCAAAGAGCTCAGGGTACTGCGATTTGACGGAGGACTGCTCAGAAGTACCGGTAGTTGCGCTGAGCAAATCTGCTGGCGGACTGAAGATATGTAGGGCTTCGATGGCTGGCCGGCCGAGCAGAGGTGTTTTCAGGTGCGGTACAACGTACACTGTCGTGTCTACTGCAAAGTCGGAAAATGCAGCACGGCAGATACTGAGTGTGACGCGGCCTGAAACAGCTAGAGTTGCGTTGTCTGGACATTTCAGCGTACGGTCGGATTCCTGGAGGTTGAGCTGATGGTGAGCAGATATGTCGTCATATAAGCTGGCTGGGATGGCAGTTACGTCTGCACAAGTGTTGACCTTCATTGTAACTGGCACTGACTGCAGCAGCATGGGCATAGACCACCCAGTATCAGCGGACAATGCACCTAGGTAGGCTGGAGGATAGTGCCACTGGTCAGCAGACTGTAATGGACCAGAGCTAGCAGCAGAGGACTGCAGACTATGCATGTGACTGGTGTTGGAGGCAGACTGAGAGCTACTACTAGTGTGCATTCTGCATACAAACAACAGCAAAGTGTCCAATCTTGCTGCAAAATGAACACTTGGCCTGACGAGCTGGGCATTGAGTGCGTGCATGGCGTTCCTTACCACACCAGTGACAGGTACTAGATTGATCAACGCCAGAGCTGTGCCTGGGTGCAGACTGACTTGAGCGAGGATGACCACTGTAACTGTGTGTACTGCGGGGCTGTGAAGCATGACCAGTTGAATCGCGGTTGTACTGGGCGGGATGTTTCACACCTTGGTGAGATTGTGGTCGCATGCTAAGTGCATTCAGCTCCAGTGCACAGGTACACGACTCACATGCAGAGTGATGCTGCTGTTCGAAAGCGTGGACTTGGTGAAGAGTTGCACCAGCTGATGAACTGTGACGGACAGTGGACTGTTGTGTTCGAACAGTCTCTTTCTGGCGAGCTTGTGCCAGAGCTTTGTCCAGTGTAAGAGATGGGTCCAGTTGCAGTTTCTGGGACAGGGCAGTGTCTGCAACTCCTGCAACAAGGCGATCACGGATCATCTCGTCGTGGAGCTGCTTGAAGTTGCAACGTTCTGCCAAACGAAACAAATCAGTTATGTAGCCATCAATCGACTCTCCGGACTGTTGGGACCTCTGGTGGAATTTCGCACGCTCGTACACCAGATTGCGTTTCCTGCCATAATGGTCTGCCAATTTCGGGAATACAATGTCGTAGTTGTCCGCATCCTGGTGTGATAAATGGAAACTCAGTAGGAGGTCGTCAGCCTCGTCGCCCATCGAATATAACAAAGAGTTTACTTGCACGGACTGTGCCTGCATATGAAGACCCGAGGCGAGCCTGTATCTCGTAAATCGCTTGCTCCACTTCTCCCACACATCAGCGGACTTGAAGTCGAATGGGGCTGGAGGAGCTACCTGGGTAAGGTGGATCATCGACGGAACCTGAGGTGCCACGGGACCCAGAGATGATACCGTGGGGAGGGATAGCCCAGCCGCGGAGGAAACGACAGAGGGTGCAGCTTGACCAACACTCGAGACAGTGACTGCTCCTGACGAGCCAGCATTACTAGTAGTCGTGGTATTACTCGGACCTGAGGAAACCGTGATGGAGGTAGTTGTGGGAGTGGAAAAAGGGTTGTTTGAAACGCCTGTCGCCATCCTGTCAAAGAGGAAATCCCAGCGCTGCCACCATGTAATGTTCTCCCGACGTCCTTAGTACGTGTCGAGAGCACACCAAAATACCAACTCAACACGGTCTCGTTGTGAGGCAAAGAACCCTTTTCATTTTCAGTGCAAGAACACAAATCGTAGTGAAAGAAAACATAATACAGCAAGGCAGTCGCGGGTACTCCATATCTGGATCTAGTAGAGTACTTGAGGGTACGCTGCGGTGCATGAGACATCTAGATATGGGATGAATCATGAAAGGGATACTGTAATTGATAGTCTACAAGAGAAGAGTACAAATAAGAGAAACAAGCATGCACAATGGGTACACACACACATACAAGATAAAACTACATGATGGTGTGCTATGTTTGCAAACCAAACCATTTCCTGTTTTCTTGTGTGGTATTGAAAGCTGGTCAGAGTTCCTTTTTGTGTTTGTTCTTTTTTTGCCGCATTGCGGCTTTGCCATAGCTACGAGAATTAAAGTTATGTTATTATCTTGTTACAGTTGTGTACATTTGCTTCATAACTCGTTTCCAAGTGATTTCCCTGGGCTAACCCTTTCGAACGTTGGAGTATTCGTTCATCTCTAGTTCCTGCCAACAGCGATAATTGCTCTGCCATTGTGATCACGTGTGCCAGTAATGACTGTTATTTGTTTGTGTCTTGTCTGATTTTTCAATTGCAGTTGTTACATGCGCTACTCCATTAGCGCCTACTTTTGGCAGTTTCTCTCTACCGGCTGGTGTATCAAGCTTTGTCTATAACACACTGGGAACATTTGTCTGCAATCCCGGCCATCGCCTTGTCGGACATGCCACCACACAGTGTTTAGCCCATGGTGATGTCAGCAGCACACCGCCCATGTGCCAGAACGTCAACGAGTGTGATAATTCCACATTGCATACATGCGATCAAAATGCGTTGTGTAGTGATGTGATTGGCACATTCAGCTGCAAGTGTATGGGTGGGTACACTGGTGACGGCCAAGCTGGAAACTGCCACAGTTAGTACCAATAGTAAATTCGGTGGATATTTCCACTTGATGATGGTGTGCAGTGTTTGCAAACCAAACCATTTCCTGTTTTCTTGTGTGGTATTGAAAGCTGGTCAGAGTTCCTTTTTGTGTTGGTTCGTTCTTAGCCGCATTCTCTGCTGCTTCTGCCATAACACCCCAGAGTGTCCACTGTCCGCTGAAATGATCTGTGCAGCAGCAGTTTGCATGATTTATCTGTGCACATGTTCTGCTGGTTTCAGAATTTGGACAAGTATAGATTATAGCAGAGTTTGTAGAATCAATCGACAGCGACACGGGTGTTTATAATCTCGAGAAAAGATCAATTATTTTTCACAGCAATTGAGATTGAGGCTTTTTGAGCTGTCTGATGAATTTGAATTGTTTTTGTTGTGCCTATATGACGCTGGCCGTGGTTGCAATGCAGAATGTAATCAGTTAGTAACCCCTTGCATTCTGCTTACCTACTGTTGTTCAGACATTGATGAATGTTTGCCGGCTAGCCCATGCCATGAGGATGCTAGCTGCATTGATAATGATGGCGGATTCATGTGTCTGTGCAAGTCAGGTTACCACGGAAATGGAACTCAATGTCAAGGTCAGTCAGCAATTTGTAATGAGTACAGAGGTGTCGGCACAGTCAAATTGTTCGGGATGTGGAAACTCCAAAGTTATGCTCATTGCGCCAATTTCCAGAGACCAATTTTGTTGGCAGCACTTTACATTTAGCTGATAGAGGCCTGCCAATGTCATGCGTTACGGAGCGCCTTTATTTTTTCCGGCTAGGTACGAGGTGATTCGCAATTTTTGGACATGTCGCAATTTTTGGACAAATCAGTTAAATATGGAAGTAGAGTCCTCCCGAGTCGTTGTCCTTTCCTTGGTGGACAAATCTTTGACAAGAGTGTCTTCGTGTGGTCCTCAAGTTTCTTTGTGCCAATTTTTAGCGGTGAAGGCCGTTTCTTTCTGGGCGTTTTCTTTATTATTCTTAGGTAATGTAATGAGTAATTTCGAAAATTTCGATTAAATAATAAATGATTGAGGATTCCGTTGACTCTACGTCGCATAACGGAGAGAATGTCGACATGGGGGATGTTGTATCCCTTCCATCAACTCCAGGGACTACGTCTTCCAGCTCGAATCCGCCTGGAAGAGTCTCCTCGCCTTCTCAACCGGTGCGTTTGTGGAGGGGTTCTGGTCAGGAGAAATCTCTTTTAGCAGTGCGAGCGTTCCACTCACCTGGCACCAGTGAACACTTCCTAACCAAGAAGGACGCAGCGGCTAGTTTCGGCGCTAGCCCTCCACTCTTTGCGAAATGTGAGAAGGAGATGGGCCACACTGGAGTGCTCCCCTCTGTTCTTGAATATGACGTCCATGAAAACCCTTGAGTGACCCTTTAAATTGTGTGTCATATTGAAAAGCCTTGAAAAGCTTGCTATGAACGGCCTGTCATTAGAACTCATATCAGCCGGTCTCATAGGCATAGCCTTACCCCATTTTAATGTCCTGTGCAAGTTTTACTTGTTCACACCATTGCAGACTGCTGCTAGATGCTATTTAATTCCCGTAGCTATGCAGAAGACGTTACTTCAGTAACGTCTGGCGCTAGCCAGGGTCCACACAGCTTTAATTTGGTGTTTGTTTGTGTGTTTGTTTGTGTCACGCCTGGCGCTATCCGTATCTGACGGCAAAAAAGCATAGGATGTTATAAATTTTTCAATTCCCCTTTTTTTTCAGGCATATCCTGGGATTCGAACCCGCACTATCGCCCTACATGCATTCCCCCATACACTTCGCATTCATACCCATTCTTCCAAGTTGCTTTACGTTATTATCTTGCATTTGAAAGCCCTATTTGAATATTGCGGGCAGCTGTATGTGGCCAGCTGTGTTTGATGGTACGGTACGGGAGACGGTGTCGTATTACCCTCGATCGTACCTGTCCCGTACCTATCCCCTACCGTACCGTGCCATCAAAGACGGCTGGCCACAATGCATATTCAAATAGGGCTTTCAAATGCAAGATCACAATGTGAAACAACTTGGAAGAATTAGTATGTATGCGAAGTGTATCGGGGGATGCATGCAGGGAGCGCGATAGTGCGGGTTCGAATCCTAGGTTATGTCTTAAAAAAAGGATTTTTTTAAAGAATTTATAACATCCCTATGCTTTTTTTTGTCTAGGTCATCAAGGCAAAAAAGCATAGCGTAGGGCCCTGAGCTTCCAAGCTCTCTTGTTTAGTTGTCCAATAATTGCTCGCATTGAAAAAGCAGTAGAAAAAGACACCTTCAATCAGGTCAAGTTGTGGCCGCATGCTTCAACTCTATGCCTTCAGGTGTGTGTGGTGGTGGTAAAGCATAAATGTGCCAGTAGAAAATCAAGAAAGAAATTTAATTTATCTTACAAACCAACATAATGGGGTGCTATTTAATTTGAGTGTCCAAAAATAGCAAATGACCTCGTACTTGTGATGTCTACCTCCACAGTCATGCACAAACACTCAAGGACACAGGTTGAGGTTTGGAAGAATACAATTAGATACAAGTGTGAAGAAGACAGGTAAGAACAGACAACCAGGTCAAGCAAAGCATGCACTTCTGGCGACTAGTCCAAAATGGCGCATGCTGGTTGTGACGTAATACACAGGCAAAATATACGACGTATTATACCTCACTCCATATACACTTACAGTCTTAGGCATGCTCTCCCTTAGTGGTGTATATATCTCCATATACACCGCTAAGGGAAATTAGCAGTAGTTGTCAGCAAGGAACAAGCCATTAGGAGGTCACACACGGTGAATATGGAGAGGTATAAATATATTATAACAAAGGAACCTCGTGTGTATCGAGATATATACACCAGTTATAAAAACCTTGGCTTCGCCTCGGTTTTCATACTGGTGTATATATCTCTATATACACTCGGTTCCTTGTTATCATATATAGTACTAGGGGTGAAACGAACATCGAATTTTGAATACGAACGAACGGTCACACTAACGAACGAACTCGAACGAACATTCTCCATTATGCATTTCATGGATGAATTTTTTTGAAGACCATACAGTCGTCTGCCAGTACAGGCTGACAGGCGTTCTCTGTACTTGGCTGGCCACAGTTCAGTATTGACGGTGTACGATACACTGCCAGAACAGAAATATTTTTTTATCGCGTCCGCCTGAGCTGAATCACAGGGTTTTGCAGCTAGCTGCAAAGTCCATCACCATTGTCCGGACGAGAGTTTTCTTCTCATCGCTAGCTCAGGTCGTCAGAGCAGGAGAACGGCACTTCTTGAGGTGGGTACGAAGATTGCTCGTCGTCGCTCTGCTGTGTGATAGAACCTTTTTGAAATTGAGAAAAGGACTTCGTCTTTCCCAACCACTTTATCAAAGTCCGCTCCAACTCCGGATCGCGATGAAAGGCTCGAATGTTTTGACATGATTGCAACGAGTGAACGTTTGCTTTCGGGAACAGATGTCACAAGCGACTCAAATCCTTTCACTACGAGTACAAATCTAACTCAAACGGACACACAGAAATATTTCAAGAAACTTTGTCCCGACGCGACACTCAACTCCTTCAACTTGCTTCAAGTGATCATCAAGGCAAACTCAGTCGATCAGCGTGCAAGCTCGCGATCTCCTAACCTCCGCGGCTCCTTCGTGATCTAGTCACAAGCGATCTTTATGCTTGCTTGCTGTGTTCGTTTATCAATCTTGCGAGTTCGTTTTCAATTTTTTCGAACGAATATTCGAACTTTCGTTCGTTCCTTTCACCCCTAATATATACTTAACCCGACTGCTGCGTGGACGATAAGTGCTGGGAATAGTGATCATGCACCCTGGCCTGAGTAGCTCGCTTGGCTAATTGAAAGTCTGCCGGCCTGGGCCACATTATGTTGCTAATACATGCACAACCCCAGTCACAGCGCACAAGTAGTTGGTTGAGTTTGGCCGTCAGGAGGCCAGCGCAAGGTATCCGGGGCGCGGGTCTGATTCCAGCGAGGGGCAATTATGTGGTACCCCGCAGCGCAAGGGTAGCGTGATACCCTAAGCCAACGTGCGTGCTGCATGAGTAGCGTGATACTCGCCGAGCGCTTTTGCTGTTGCCTAGCAACGCGTTTCTGTCTTTCCTGGGCCCCCAAATGCATGTTGGGTGGCCCTGCGCATGACTGCACGTTGTCATAGCAACCTTGGAAATCTCAAGCCGGTTACCAACAAGCTGGGAATCAGACCAAGCCGCCGAATGCCCCCGCCGGCCCCCGGCGCTTCATTGCAATTGAATTAATATTTTGTCCAGAATAGTGAGCTAGGACAGATCCAATACAATGTAGCTTGGAGTACCATCATGCTGAGTGGCACTCATTGTGAGACGTAGGATAGTGTAGAGCGATAATAAATACCAGGAGGCGTGGGTGGGAGGGAGAAATTGCAAAACAGTTGGATGCACGCAGCAGCACAGCTAGCAAGGGAAAGAGCCGTGGATGGGTTTGTTCCTGTTTTTGATGGCTGTGGTCATCCGTTCGCCCAACGCTCGTGTGAGTACGGCGTTTGTTTGTGCTGCCAGCTCGGGCCCGGTGCGCGAGTGAAACCGAACCGTGACAAAGGCTTTCGCTCTTTAGTGCTATTGACTGGCTTTTCATACGATGCCTATTGATGTCTAGAGACATGCTGTCTAGCCTTCCCCTGGTACGCATTCACGGGGCTTTGTTGAAGTTCGTGCCGTGAACTGCCAAAGGGAATTGTTTGAATGGTGCTGGGGCGAGTGCGACATTACGGCGTCCCTGCAGCCGGCCTAATCGCGTTTGTTGCCACAACCGATTTTATACCTCACTCCATATACACCCACACTCATATACCAGATCTCCCATGAAGTTTATAAATTTCCATATACACTGTTCAATATACACCTTTAAGGAGGTATATACACCACTGAGGAGGTATATACACCACTGAGGAAAACCATCAGAAAAAAGGACACACTGAGGAGCTTTCTTTCTCTAAGAAGGAGTGTATATAGCTTTCTTTCTCTAAAGCTATATTCACTCCTTTTTAGGGAAAGAAAGGTATATTCACTCATTTTTGCTCTTGAGCTTGCGTATGGAGAGGTATAAATATATTATAACAAGGGACCTCGTGTATATCGAGAAATATCGACCAGTTATAAAAACCTCGGCTTCGCCTCGGTTTTTATACTGGTCTATATTTCTCGATATACACTCGGTCCTTTGTTATAATATATACATAGTCACGTGATAAGACATGAGCATCATATCACATCAGTACTCAAGATCCAGCTGTGTTTTTTCCTGCATCTATCAGGGTGTGTTTAGAGTATGTTTACAGTCTACTCATGCCAATTAAAACCATGCAATAGCATTCAGGTACCTAGGATGGGGTCCCGGCTTCAGACCAGCAATGTTCTTGTTTTCCAGATTTCAGCTTCTTGTTCTTATTGTATTCCGCTATTGTCCGAGAGTAGATGCAGGGGCGTAGCAGCCGCTCCGGCCGGTCCGGCTTTGGCCGGACCACTTTTTCGCCCGACCACGATCACCATAGTAAAACAATGCCAAAAGTGCCCAGAATGCAGGATTTT